TTTTTGTAAAAACCATCCCTCAACACGCCATATAAAGTACAAAGCGATGGCTTTCGTTCCTAGTAACAAATCAATTGTGGCAAATAAGCGTCCTCCAACCGATTTGAAACGATTTCTAAAACGGACTAAATCTTTGCTTACACGTTAATAGCGCGAAATATATCGCGCGTTGATTGTCCAAAATTGTCCAAAATGGCACTCATCAAACCCCCATAACTTTACAAAAATAATCACAGGTGGAATATTTTTTTCAAATTTAAACTCAGGATAATAAAACTTTTCGAATGCTATAAAAATCCCGTCAGAAATGGCTAGTTAAGAAGTCGAAATTGTCAGAAGAAAAAACCACCCCGAGCGCAAATATTCTTTTCGTTAGGAAAGTCGGAATAGGATCAATATTGTGATTAAAATAAACGATTATGAACCATGCTAAGATTTTTTTGTAAACCGTGTCTAACATGTTGTGTCACGTCATTTTTTGTTAGATCTTCTCGGATTGCATTTGAACATTTTGAAAATATGTGTATTTCCTGTCGTACAATTGTATGGCGAGATGTTTGAGTTGGTGAATCGCTTTGAGGTTCATTCAATTCTAATATAGAGAAATAGCTATAGAGAAGTGAGAATACATCATTTGTGAATAATGAGTATGCTCTTATTGAGTTTTGGTGTTGTATGCTTTTGATGTATTGTGTAAAAACTTTTGAAAATTCAATGTCTACATCATCAGTTTGAATGAGATATCTGTCATGAAATGCATTTGGTGATTTGATTTCTCTTGTGTAGATTCCATATTATGATGTGAGACTACATATACCTTAGAGATAGTGGTTAAGAAATTGTCTTTTGGTTTTTACATCGGGAAATTCTCTTGTGCACGGACTTTCTCCTTTTTTGAAAAAAATTTCATTTAGATTTTGGCAAAATTGCACCTGTCTTCGAGCTTCAGTTAATGGAGATATTAAGAATGGAAATACTGAATTTACTTGCTTATCTTCATTTTGAATCATTTTTGTGTTGTATGACTGTTAATGCGTAATTTTCAATGTGTCTTATTGGTTGACTCCAATTGTACAAACGTATTGGTTTGTTTGTGTAGCAAGTTTTATTCTACGTTTCCCTTTTTTTGATGCTGGTGACGTGGTTTCTGAGTCAGTGAAATAAGTTTGATCGTCAATTTGATGGTTTTTGTTTATTGAGTCTTTTAAATTGTGAAGTTCCTGTATTGCGGTTGTTTCTGATTCTGAGATTGCGTTTCTTCGTTTTGAAAATCTTTTCCTAATAATTTGTTTTTGTTTGTCAATTATTTTCTTCCTTACTGTTTTTCTTTTTGTTCTTATGTATCCTACTGATTGTCTGTGTGGTGTGATTACGAGGTCGTATCTGCCGTCGTTAATTAAACAATTGTGTATTATGATTGTTTGTTTTGTTTCCCAAATTGTCTCTTGACATAAGGTTTAGGATGATGGGTGCAAAATCTGGATTATTGATTCTAATGTCTTAAACTGTTAGTTCTTCTTCGTTTTTTTTGTGGTTAGCTTAACTTGAGTCGTATTGTTGGGCTAAAGAGAAAAGCATATACCGACTCCTGAGAATGATTTGTACTTTCTCGTGACTAGTTCTAAGCTAAGATAGACCTACTTAATCTTACTTAGGGGTTGTGATTTGTGATCAAGGGTTGGAGAATAGTGAATCGATCCGCAAGATTCAGGTATAGTTACAACGCGAGTAGTACCTTAGATACTTTGTTATGACTTACTAAGCTTAGGTGTTTTAGCCTGGGTCATCTAAGAGCAGGGGGATCAAATGAAGGATGAGTAACCGAACTTCTTCACTGTTTATCTTAATTAAAATAACTAGTTTTTTGAAAAATTTTTGTTAATTCTGGGTCTTTTATAAGGGCTGGGTAGTGAATCGGCGCTTGAGGTCGTTAGACATTAATAAAATTGGGAGGTGGAGAACAAAATTGTTCTATTTGATCCAAGGATTTGCCTTGATGATCAGAAATTTAGATTTTTAGAAATTTAAAAATCGTCTTATTCAATTTAAAGATCCAAGGAAAGCGTTGATCATCTGTTTTTTTTAAATAGAATTAAATAAAGTGAAAGCAAGGATAAGCCTCGGTAGTTTATAATTAAAGGGTTGGGGTTAAGTTTTAGATTTGATGATTGTTAGTTTTTGACAATCGTTTTATGATTTATGTGATGGAGCTGGGATGAAGAGATGATATACTAACAATTTATGATTTATACTATTTACTTTTTATTTTTTTAATATTCATTAAATATTTTTTCAAGATTTTATTTAAATTACAACTGATTTAAGGAAAACGACAAGTGTTGTTTTTATCAGTCGTTATTGTACAATGATTAGGTTTAGCGCCATGAAAATTTATTGAAAATAATTATTCAAGGTATTATGTCAGTAAAAGAAAATTTGAAATTACTGCTGGCAGTATCCTAAATACAAAAGTTTGATCTCGTTTTTGTCGTATTATCATGAAATCGATTGGTAGATTTCTCCTAATCGTATGTCGTCCCTTGTTCGACGTCTTCTTCCAATACTTGGCAGTTCTCGTATTGTTCGGAATATTGGATATGATCTATTGAGTCGTAGAGACATATCTACTAAGTTTTTGTCATATAACATTTTTAAAATGTTGTATTTGTCTAATTCTAATCTAATTTTGTCTAAGTCTACGTTAGTTAAGGTCTGTTCGAGACTTTTGGTCGCACCAGATGAGTTATGTATGCATGACTATACTCATAGAGTAATTTCAGATAAGGTACACCGTCTGCTCGTCACGCTATCTTGTTTTCGGTCGGATAGATTCGTGCAACTTCTTAGTCTAATACCAATCTTAATCTTTCTCTTATATCTCCTAGTCTCAATAGATCTAGTGTATGTACACCGGTTTACGCGAGTTAGTTCCAGAATGAGAACAACTGTATTCTAAGTTAAATTCAAATTGTTCTGGTGCTGAAACTACAAGTAGTTTCAACACTTACAAATAAATAGGTTGTTAGTTTGATGGAGTATGATTGGTTAGTATTTAATATTTTATTGAGATAAAATATCATAATAACAACCAATGATAAATACTAGTTTAGATCTGGTTCCAACGTGCAAGAAAACTGTGGCAGAATTCTTCTGCTTGTTAAATCGACCCATTTGATTATGCCCGCTACTCCTTGAGCTTGCTCTTAATTCAAAATGTACTGTTTAATTAAATTACCCATGTTTGAAAAAAATAATCAGAAAACTGTGCCTTATTTCATTTTGTTTTGATTCAGTAACAACTAGCAAAATAATTCAAAGTTTTTATTTGGATTTTTTTCAAAAAAAAAAACGTCTGTTTTCTAAAGCAAATACTGATTTTATGAAAACCCAGTAAGTGACCAAATGATAAGCGCCTTTTGGTCGGTTAAGCGCCTCAACACCAAAATGCCAGAAGTAATTCTTTTTCAAAATGTTCCGTATGTTTTGATTTTTGATAGTTTTGTTTGCCTAATTTTTAATATTTTGAGAACCTAATTTCCGTTTTCATTCTCAGAACAGTTTGAGAGTAACTTTCGTATACGGTTTAGATCTGGCTGCTTACTGTTCCATTGCTTTGCTTCTTCAAAAATTAATTCAAACAAAATGTAAAAATTAGGATGCTTCTTTAGTGAAGCTCATTTAGTGGAGAAAAAATTAGGTCGATCATTTAACTGAATGGCTTCAATTAAAGTCAATTAAAAACAAACCTCCCTCAAAAAATCAATGCAGAGAATTTGAATTTCCTTGTAAAACCAGAGCACTATTTTAATTCAATCAATTTAGAGTTTCTATCATTAATCAAAGCAAGACTTCTCGTGTAAATCCGAAATCTTGAATGTTCCGACTGCATCTTAAAGTATATGGAGTGTTGTTTGTAGTTAGAAATTAGGCGATATTAGAAAATGTTAAATTGGCATTTTTTAATTATTTTCTGAAAATAATCGCTCCGAAACGCTATTTAAAGTCAAAAGTTAAATATTTTGCTCGGAGCGAAACTTTAAGTAGATCAAATGGCTAGCTTCAATTAAATATGGAAAGATTTCCAAGACGTGTAGAATTTACAAGACAATAAAATCTTAAATAGACCAAATAGCCGCCTCAATTGAAGTTCGAACGATTTCTAAAACGTATTAAATCTCCAAAACAAAAATACCATATAGACCAAATAGCTTGCATCAATTCAGTTTGGAACGGTTTATTAGACGTATTAAACGTCCAAGACAACAATGCGTTCCAAATGACATACAAAAACTTGGTCAGAAACTGCTAGTTAAAAATTCGAAAACTGCCTGGAGAAAAAAAAACTGAGCACAAGCATTCCGTCATTTTCTTCGAAAATTGGCGAAACAACAATTTTCACTCGTATATCAGGGCAAACCCCTGAAATTTTTGACAGCACTTTACGAACAATTTTTTAAAAGTTGGTTGAAAAATAGTTGAAAATTTATTTCATTTTTTTATTTGACTATATAAAAGTTTTATTTTATTTCATTTGAAAAATTCATTTTGCGTCTTCATTTTATCCCCTCAAACGATAATGCAAACTACAAAAATTTGACTTCTTTTATCCTATTGATAAGACCATATAACTTGCATCAATTTAATTTGGAACGCAGTAATTCGCCGTGTACATGTGTTACAAACACGCAATATATCGCCCGTTAATTATACCAAATTGGCCAAATTAGCAATTTCGAAACCACCATAGTTTTAGTTTAAAAAATCACAGGTAAAATATCCTTTGAAATTGAGCTTATAAATTTGAGGTAATAATATCTTTGAGCACTAGATGAAAATACCTTTCGCTTGGTTAAAAGTTGAAAATTGACTGAATAACAAACCACCCCACGCATAAATAATCCTCGCTATCTTCAAAAGTCGGAAAACAGGAAAAGAGTTGATTTTTTTTCATTGCAGCAAAATCATCAAAATTGGCACACTGAGTGCTAGAAAACAGCGGCAACACATTAGCTTCTTACAAGTTTTGGTGTTTTTGATAAGCTTGAGTGACAATTTTTTTTTCAAATATGATCAAATAGTTCAATGTTCAACTATCCGTAGTTATCGCTTACAAACTCCGTTCAGTCATTTTTTAAAAGTTTATGAAAATTGAATGACCGAGTGAACAAAAGTGTATTGGTAAGCTATAGATTTTGCAGCAGGTTGTTAGGTTGTTTTTATAAGATATTGTCAAAAACTAATCAGCATACCGTAATGATCTCAAATTAAGATATGCTCCGCTAGTTTTTCATTGATTTTTATTGATTTTTTTTCTACAATGTGAGTTTAACTGACATTAGCTTAATGTATTTGTTTTGGAATTATCCTGGCATTTATTTTTTGTAATGCATTTTAAATTGACGGATAATCAATATAAAAACGGCAGCCCTTAGATGTTTCGAATATTCAAAAATCTGAGTTTTTCTTACTGTAACTTCAGATATGCTAGAAAACAGCGGCCACACATTAGCTTCTTACAAGTTTTGGTGTTTTTGATAAGCTTGAGTGACAAATTTTTTTTTCGAATATGATCAAAAAGTTCAATGTTCAAATATCCGTAGTTATTGCTTACAAACTGAATCAGTTCAGTCATTTTTTAAAAGTTTATGAAAAATGAATGACATGCATTTTTCTATAGACCAAGTGAACAAAATTGTATTGATAAGAATTTTTCTAATGTGGCGGTGAAACCGGGCAGCTATAGAAATAATTGCAACAGGTTGTTAGATTGTTTTTATAAGATATTGTCAAGAACTGATCAGCATACCGTAATGATCTCAAATTAAGATATGCTCCGCTAGTTTTTCATTAATTTTTATTGATTTTTTTTCTACAATGTGAATTAAACTGATATTAGCTTAATGTATTTGTTTTGGAATTATACTGGCATTTAATTTTTGTAATGTATTTTAAATTGACGAATAATCAATATAAAAATGGCCGCCTTTAAATGTTTCGAATATTCAAAAATCTGAATTTTTCTTACGGTAACTTCAGATATGTTTTGCAACAAAAAACCAAACTGGTTCAGTACAAATTTTTTTTGAAAATCAATTTGAGTTTTTTTCTTTCGTGATTTTATGGAACATTATTTTACAATGCTTTAATAAACTTTCAATTATTTTTTGCTTGCAAAGGTATGAAAATTAACTACTTTGTTTAATCAACTTCTTTTTATATAACATGCAATTTGAACGTCAATTACAAAAATACCACATAAATATTAGTAATTACTAAATGGTTTGACCAAACAAATGCTGGTTAAGCCAGTTCTTTTTAGCAATTTCATTTTTGGTAAACTTTCTTTGTGTTGAAAATTGAGCTTTTGGCATGAAGTTTTGACGTGTCTTCAACAAATTAATTTAACGTTTTTCTTCTGACCATTTGTACAATCTGCATTTGATAGTTTATTATCCAACTAACTTCTTTCTCACTGTGATGATGATGAACTTAGATGCCTTGTTATACGTAGGGATACTCTTCTCTGTGCAAATGAAAGGTATGAATGTAATTTTGCCTCCTTGATCTTTGATCGAAATGCTCTTTTCGTTCACATTTGTGAAATGAAAAAAATTAGACATCTAAATAAGTCTATTTTATCAAGAAAAAGTGAGGGTACTTAAAAGGTAAGAAAGTTTTACTAGCAACTTTTTTCTTCAGTAGAGTTGAAGTCGCAAAGCAAATCAGTTAAGTTCCAGTGTTATATCAGCAAAAATTCGAAGTGCAGAATTGTAGCGTAGATCAAATTTAAACAGCTCTGGGCCATCTATGCTCTTAGATTCAAAGTTTTAAAAAATTGCAACACTGAGTCATTCACAAATCAGAGTTTTGTCATCAATTATTCAGCGTAAGCACAAAAAAATGGTGAATTCCCATAGGTTCCAATATTCATAGGTTCCAAAATAAAAAATCAGTCGCATAAGTTCCAAAATTTATCTTCTTGAATTCTGATTGGTTGAAATTTGAGCCAACGAATTTGTGGATCGATTGTTTACTGTTCAACCAGCATAAACTCAAGCTGCAGAATAGTGACCGCCGCAGCCGTGCCAACGTGTTGCGAGCTTGCCACCAAAGGGTGGGAATCTATACGAAATTTAGAGCCGGTTATCGCCACGAAGCGGCGACGCGCGCCCACCGGCGACCTTAAACCGAGACTCGGCTACTTTAGTCTTTTGACCAATTAATGCGACTGCTTTTTTATTTTGGAACCTATGGGACTGATTTTTGTTCCGAGTTTCGATACGAAAGTAACGGAATATTTGTGCTCGGGGTGGATTTTGTTTTCTTCAGACAAATTTCGACTTTTAAACTAGCCATTTTTGACGGATTTTTTTTTATCAATCAAAAGGTATTGTTGTCCTGAGCTTAAATTTGAAAAGATAATTTACCTATGATCATTTTTCGTAATGTTATGGGGGTTTAAAGATTGCCATTTTGGCCAATTTGGGACAATTAACGCGCGATAAATTTCGCGCTATTAACGCGTAAGCAGAGAGTTAATCCGTCTTAAAATCGTTCCAAATTGGTTGAAAGAAGCTTATTTGCCACGATTGATTTGTTACAAGGAGCTAAATCTATCTTTTTGTTCCGACTTTCGGTACGAAAGTAACGGAATATTTGTGCTCGGGGTGGGTTTTTTTTCTTCTTCAGACAAATTTCGACTTTTTAACTAGCCATTTGTGACGGAATTTTTTTATATCACTCGCAAGGTATTGTTGTCGTGAGCTCAGATTTGAAAAGATATTTCACCTGTGATCATTTTTCCTAACGTTACGGGGGTTTAAAAATTGTCATTTTGGCCAACTTGGGACAATTAACGCACGATATATTTCGCGCTGTTAACGCGTAAGCGGAGAGTTAATCCGTCTTAGAAATCGTTTCAAATTGGTTGAAAGAAGCTTAATTGCCATAATTGATTTGTTACTTGGAGCGAAATTTATCACTTTGTACTTTATATGGCGTGTGGGGTGAGGATTTTCACGAAACATCCCAAAGTTTAAAAAAAATCATTTTATTTTCATTACTTAATTTTTTCATGTTATTACTGCGAAATCTATATTTGTATACTTTATTTGGCACGTGGGGCAGCAATATGTTATTATTGTTATTGTTAATATGTTATGGCGTGGAGCAGCAATATGTTATTATTGCTGCTCCATAAACCTTAAAAGGCAGTCGGAACATTCAGCGCTCCGCCTTGATACGAGCAGCCTTGTTGTACTTTAAATGGCATGTGGGGGGATTATTTTCATAAAAAACTTCAAATTTTAGAAGTTAAAAATTCTTTTTATTTTATTACAATTATGTTTTTTAATGTTATTACTGCTCCATAAACCTTAAAAGGCAGTCGGAAAATTCAGGGCTTCGCCCTGATACGAGCAGTCTTGTTTACTATATACTACTTATTCTAAAAAAGCAGATCTGTCGGTTCTTCTCAAATTGGATATAAAAAGTGGCGGATTAATCGTGCGGAATGTTTTGAATTCATCTGAAAGGTACTGGTGTCCTGAACTCAAGCATACAAGCATAAAAAGGTTTTTACCTGTTATTGTTTTTCGTTAAGCTATGGGGGTTTGAAAACTGCCAATTGTGCCAATGCGGGATAACTAACCCACGATAAATTTCGCCCTATTAAAGCAAAAGCAGCCAATCAATATCGTTTTAAATTAAACTGCGCATTTTTCCAGCAATTTGCGTGCTTAATGCTTTCCCAGCCTCAAAATAAATCGCATGTTTCAAAATATTATACTTTAGATAGCGTGGGGAGATAACATAAATAAAAGTTGGAAAAATCCAAACTATGTTTTTTTTTCGCTTATTTGAGGAATTCTGACTAACAAATTTTTTTTCATTGACTTTAATAGCAGTTGGAACAATCCGGATTTTGCTTTGAAAGGAGCAATTTTGTTTTTTTAAAATGAATTAATCTAAATGAAACAATACCTTTTGAATGATAAAAAAAATTCTGTCAAAAATGGCTAGTTAAAAAGTCGAAATTTGTCTGAAGAAAAAAAAACCCACCCCGAGCACAAATATTCCATTTCTTTCCTATCGGAAGTCGAAACAAAAAAGCAATCGAATTGGTCACTTTAGAACCTCGTTACAAGTAAAACGAGACTGCTCGTATCAGGAAGAAGCAGTTCCGACTGCTTTTTAATGTTCTGACAACCTTTTAAGGTCTATGGAGCAGTAATAACATGAAAAATTTAGCTGTTTTTTTTTCAAGTCTGAATTTTTTTGTGAAAAACATCTCTCAACACGCCATAAAAAATACAAAGTGATAGATTTTGCTCCTAGTAACAAATCAAATATGGCAAATAAGCTTCTTTCAATTAACTTGAAACAATTTCTAAGACAGATTAAATCTCCGCTCACGCGTTAATAACGCGAAATATATCGAGCGTTAATTGACCCAAATTGGCCAAAATGGCAATCTTTAAACCACATAACTTTACGAAAAATGTTCACAGGTGAAATATCTTTTCAAATTTAAGCTCAAGACAACAACATCTTTCGAATATTAAAAAAAACCGCGTCAAAAATGGCTCGGTAAGAAATCAAAATTGTCTGAAGAAAAAAAACCACCCCGAGCACAAATATTCCGTTACTTTCGTTACGAAAGTTGGAAAAACAATTAAGTTAGTTCTTCATGGGCCGGAAACTAATAAAATAACAATTTTATCGGTCAATTCATTTTTTTGTTCACTGTTAACTTAGGGAGAAAATTGAAGCAAGTTAAATGCAGTTTATTTCGCCTCACCTTGAAACCAGGGGCGGATCTAGGATTTTCTCGAGGGGGGGGGTTCGGATTTTCAAAAAAAATTGGAAAATTTGACGACCTTTTTTTTTTTAGGCCGACCAAATTGATTATTCGAGCTCTCCCTAAGCACTGTTTTGCCCCAATTTTGGCAAAATTTTCTATTTTCTGCGCCGCAGGCAAATTTTTGAAAAAACAGTCAAAAGCCGTTTTGGGCACTTTTTGAAAAATTTTTGACAAAAAAAAATCGCGTTTTTTTGGCGCGCGCTCCCCCTCAAAGTTAGTATATAATGGTTTGGCGCCATAGGCGCCTTTAGAAAAATTTTAGGGTTGGTCGGCCAAAAATGGATTTCTGAAAAAGTATCAAAGGGGGACCCTTAGGGACGGCAGGGGGTCGAATCCGTGAAAGAGGGCGTCCGCCCCACCCCCCCCCCCCCTAAATCCGCCCCTGCTTGAAACGAGTAGTTTTAACTTTTTTGCGGTCATCTCGTTATTGCAGTCTAAATTAAACTAGCTAATACCTGTATCTATATTTTTTTTGAAAATAAGTCTGGTTACCTTTTTTAGCGGTCGAAGGTGATTTATACATTGAAAGCTGGTCAACTTTCAATAATGAAAGCCTCAATTTGTCATTTGTCGACATCCAAGTATACACAACCGATCCTTTTCATCATGGTTATTGGAGGAGTTGGAGTTTTTATTATTTTAACTGGGATGTCGGTGACGTTTTTTGTACCCTTTGGATGGCAAAACGTAATGCAGATACTTTGCCATGTAATGTGGTATCAGAGCCAGGTTTTCATTCCGATTACCCTCTGGCCCTTCGGATGATCAACTTGGAGCCAGACAGTGTGTATAATCTCACAGTCGAAAGCCTGCACTCAGATTACGGGTTTAACGATTATGATGGGGGAACATTCTTCATATGCACTTCAGGTAAGCTCTTCCTCTTCTCAGAGAAACAAAACAAATCTCTTGACCTCAAAAACAACTGCAGTTTTTTCCAAAAAAAGTCGAATATACGCAGGTAACTTTTACTCAGGAGTAATATTGTTCAATATTTGCTCCAATATTCAGAAGAACTCTGATTCTAGACAATCAATCATCGTCGGCGAGGCCTTGGAACCTCATCAGTGATGATCAAATGGTACCTTCAACTTCCCACTCTATTACGATTCCACCTCAATTCTTCAACACAACATTGCTCGATAGTGCTTCAATTAAGACTGTAAATGGAACTTGGGATTATGAACCCTGGTTGTCCTGGAGGTCGGTTCCGTTTGACAATGCATTGGGATACACGTACCAAGATCTACTTGCAGGCACTCAATACTTGATGCAGTTTTTCGCTAGCAGCTTTGAGTGTGACATCGGATTCCTAGAATTTCATACTGACGTTTTAGCCTGCACAAGTAAGTTGTTGCGCTACATTTGTTCCGTTTGAGTATCAAAAAATCGTAACATTATGAGGCCAAACTGTGCACTGGATAGGCGCAAAATTTTGTGTCTGTATGTGCCGGGGTTCCATAGAAAGTTTTTATATATGTTCCAAAATGTAAATAGATTCCGCGTACAAATACCTGTAACGCAAACTTTGTCGGACATTTGTTTTGTTGCGGATTCCGCAATTGTAAGTGGATTCCGCAAAAAGTAAATGAAACTCGCAAATGTAAGTGGAATCCGCAAAATTTGTAAGCGGAATCCGCAAATGTAAGTGGATTCCGCAAATCGTAAGTGGATTCCGCATTTTTGTTTATTACTGATTTTGCATATTTACAATTAAAAACTAGAGGTGGGACATTTGATTTTTTATCTATAGCAACTCGCAATTTGAAAGCAAAGACTTATCCATTTGTCAGCGGAATCCACAAACGAATCTTAAAACATTGGTTAACTATGCGGATGTCAAATCGTTCTTTATCTTTATCTGATGATTAGATGACTTTTTGGGATCGGAAAATACAATCATCGAAAACCATTTAGGGCTTGTGATGGTTTGAAATGGGTTTGAAATAGCAGTTAAGGGTTTGAAATGGCCGTTCATGTTTGAAATGGAGGCAGTTAAATCACTCATCAGTATTTGAGATGAGATGGTTCATTTATGGTTAAGAAATCATCATGAGTGTTTGAGATGAGATCATTCAGTTTTAAATGGCAGCTAATTCACTCATCAGTATTTGAGATGTGATAGTTCAGTTGGTTCATAAATCAATATCGCACTTATCAGTATTTGAGATGAGATAGTTCAGTATTTGAGATGAGATAAAGTACGGCTTGATTGTGTTTTTTGGATCTTGTTAACTAATCCCCCCCCCCCCCCCCCTATTTCGATTTTCAGAAATTCAACTTTGAAGGCCACATTTTCAATAGCGTAAGAGATTTTTCAGAAATTATAAATATTTAAATTTTTTTACGTGGGGGTTATATAACTAGTGATTAATACAAATACGAACGCGCGAAAATGAAAACCCACTTAATTGTTGACATTTTTAAAATGCATATTTTATACAGAAATGGTTGTCAAAAATAATTAACTAAAGGTCCAAAAGAGGGAAAATAGTTCATGAGATCCCTTTTTCTGATTTTTTTCCGATAAAAGCGTCGTATCATCTGACCCCGATTTTGTGATGTTTAGAAGCTTAGCAAAGGGTACTAAAGCGAAAAAATACTAAAGCGAAAAAAAAAATTTCAGAAAAACATAATCATAGCAACAATGAGTCTGAACCGCAAAAGTAATGATTTTAGTACTGATTTTTTTTGTGAATAGCTTTTGACTCCCAACCACGGAGTAAAGGGTATTAAAAACCGTAAACATTGTCGGTGTGTCCAACAATTTTTTTCCGAGACAAGCCAAATTGCGTCCAGGTTACATTTTGAAGCTTTGGGGGCTAACAGCTAAAAACCATTTTATTTTTCAAAAATTGGTCCAATGACCAGTATGTGCCGTTTTTTCACCTTTCATATTAATTTGGTCTTTTCATTTCAGCTCCCATGGCACCTGATGCCAAGTTCTATGCTTACGATTATCGAGTCATGTACTACGAAATCACCCAAAACTACTCGTATTTTGACTCCATCACGGCAGCAATCGAACCCCCGGACGCACCCCCTCTGCGTGAAATGGGGGGATACTTTGTGGATCTGAAGGCTGGGACCCTATACACACTGACAGTTACGGTGGAAATTGGATCTGTTATTGACTGTGGATCTACTAATCCGGAAGACCTCTTTGCCAAGAGAACCAAAAGGGCCTTCTCACGTAATACTAAAAGGGCTGTTTTTAGATTTTTGGAGCAAAAATAAAGGTTTTTTTTTGGTGATCTCTATGTCACCAAATCCACGCAATCGATAAATTTCTGGTGCATCTTTACAGGAGCGCATTCGGTTTTTTTTGTTATAATCTTGTCCAATAGCACCAGCGGATTTAAGGGGAGGGGGGCGGAAAAGGGAAGCGGTTGCCCCCTCTTTAGGGATTCGACCCCCTGCCCACCAAAGATCCCCCTTTGTACTATTTTGAGATATCCATTTTTGTGAATCGCATTGTGGATAATAGTAACTATGTATGAATAGCATTATTTTCATGAAAGTTTCTGCTAAAAAAATGCACTCTTCTCAATTCATTGAGAAAATGCCTTAAAATAGTCTCAAATGGAACAAAAGTAACTTCTTTGGTTACCATGGTTTGATTTAATTGGGCAAAACTTCATTGGTAATTTTATTTGTTTTCGTTTCGTATTAAAGCCCACTACTATCAGTTCTGACTGTAAATTGAATTTTGGGCAGCTACCGATACCTACTTGAAAACGCTGAATCAATCATTTTGATGAACAAAAATGCTTATTTTTCAAATATTTCCGGTGTGAGTTTTATCGCTCAACCACGCTACTTTTCTTGAACACTTGAACACTCCTGAGAAGTCAATTTTTGTATACTGATGGTTGTTGGTATATGCATCAATCTATGTTGCGTATCATCATATGATTTTATTTTTCCGTTGTTGGTAATAAAATTTCACTTCGAAAATTTAAGAGCTCTTAGATATAATTTTTTCACAGTATTTTCTCTTAGCGGTGTAAAAAAAGTATTTGAAGAAACCTGTATGAAAACATAAAATATTTGTAAAAAATTGAAAATTTTTTCAACCGGCAATAAGGGTTATTCCGGGTTTCTCCACTTTTCATTACGAGGCTAAACTGTGCTTTTTGGGAAATGTTGCCCCCCCCCCCCTAAATCCGCCGATGATTACTATTATTGCAACTGCTACTTTTATTATTATCTTGATCAAAATACTCTTCGAATAAAATCTTCAAACTCCACTCCGACCACCACATAATTGATCACGTCTATCACTGGCCGTAGACTTTTTAATGAATAGTTGTTACGCTTGAATTAACGAGTCATCGAAAAAAGTTGGTGGTAACGAACTTGAACTTTGAAAAATGCGTTGATCGAAATTGTTTTTTTTTCATAGAAATTTCAGCAGCAGAATGAGCAGTTTCATAAGGTTCAAATGATTTCAATCTTTTAACTTGAAATTTTAATTTTTGTGTTATTTTTGATGTTTTAGCTCAAAATTTCAGCCTTTATTTTGAGTTGTTTGAAAATCGTTTCATGACATTTTATGTTTGATTCGAGTAGTTAAAACTGCAACTTATCCTGATGATGACGATGGCAATGAAACAGTTTTGGCGGTAGTGATCACAGCATGTGTTGTCCTTCTAGTTGTCAGTGTTATTCTGAACATTCTCTCTGGAACATACATCTGGCGCGCCCTTTACCAAAGAAAATCACGCTAGAAGAAATTTGCAATTTTACTGGTCGTGTTTGAATATTTTGTTAGAATTTTAAATTGATTGCGTAAGCTCATGGACTCCATAATCAATTTCAGCGCTATTTATAGCACTTTTAAAAAACATTTGACCTAAACAACTAATTTAAAATAGTTAATTTAGAATGCTCTTAATTTTAAGAACAGTTCGCCTGATTTTCAATTAAAAATCAGTTTTTTTATTGTAGAAATTCTACCGACGACAAAAACAATCTAAAGCTGGATGACAGAAAGGAAGTTAACAACATATCAGCGTGAGTAAAAAAACACATACCATTGATCACACAAAATCTTGATATGAAAGGAAATGCGTGGACTCAAATCAATCAAATCAATTATTTACAACCGATTCAGCCCTACACGAAAATATATTGCAATATACTTTCATGACAGAAAAGAAATTTCTCATTAATTGAGGTCAACTTTGTTGGGTGCCTAAAAAAATGCAATAGTCAACAAAATTATCTTCCAATTCATAACATCCAACAGAAACGAAGAAAAAACAATTGACCTCATTATGGCTTAGCCAATGTTCAAAAATATCTAAAAGCTCAATAAGTAGTTTATCGCAAATTTTTTTTTTAAACGAGAGATAAATTTAATTTATTCAGTTTTGATCATGTTCAAAAGACCATTATTGTCTGTGAGATACAGTTTTTTCAACTTTTGGTTATTTTACATTTTGTTAATAACTCTGAGCGAACAGAACTGTTCATTTTCTGTTCCCGCATCCACGTTTAGGCTTGAGTAATCGATTATAAATGATTATTATGTTAATTTTGACAATAAAAAAAATTGAATTACAAAAATTAGGTGTTTAAAAAATTTATAATCGATGAACAATGTATATTATCCAAGAGATTATATTATCTCATAATCCATCATAATTGGTTACAGATCATGCAGAAAATTTTTTCAAATCGGTCGGTTACAATCGATTATGCTCTCTATTTGACCAGAGTGTTGTTGCATCAAAAATATCAACCAGAGTGTTGTTGCTCATAAAAGGGAGATGTCTTGTCACACTTTTATTCATCTGAACACAAGGTTTTACCACGTAACAAAAGTTTCATAGAGATCCCTTCATATTTCTTGAAAGTTTTTCGCAGTAGGTGAAAAAAAATTCTTCCAACTAAATTAATGTGCCGATACTTTGGTGATTAAAAAAGCATCATGAATCAGCTCTCATTGAGAAAAAAGAACGTTATAAATTTGAGTTAACTTGAAGACTGCGAAAACATTCTTCTCATTTTGTACATAAGTCATTGTCTATGAAAAGCATAAAATATAAGCAATTCAGATGCAAAGTCGAAGAGAAAATGGCGGAATTGTCGATTATGATTGATTGAAATGGATTTTAAGCAAATAAATAAATAAGATATTGGGATAAAAAAACCGCTTATAATTGTATTGAAAAACAGATGAAACAATAATTGTTTATAATCAAATGAAACGTAATATAATTGATAAAAAATTGTTTTCAAAGAGAGATTGTAATCGGTCATTAATTGATTACAATCGATTTTTTATCTTAGTTAGACACAGGGGCGGATCTAGAATTTTCTCGAGGGGAGGGGAACAGTCTTTCCAATATATATATATATATATATATATATGTTTTTGTCGACCAAATTGATTTTATTTGAGCTCTTCTAAATCATTATAAGGACCCCATTTTGACCAAATTTTCTACGCCCAATTTGTGAACGAACAGGCCAAAAAAGGCGTTTTTGGCCGTTTTTTGGAAAGTTTTGACCAAAGAATTGCGTTTTTTTTCGGCGCGCGCTCCCCCCTCAAAATAAAAAACTTAAGGACCCGTCAGCCAAAATTGGATATCTCAAGTAAGTACCCTTTGCGTCGGCAGGGGGTCGAATCCCAGAAGGGAGCGTCGTCCCCCCTCCTAAATCCGCTGGTGGTTAGAATTGTACTAAAATCACAAAAATTTGAAATTGGATGCGGTTTTTTTTTCATTCGGCGTGGAAAGCTAAAACAGTACTGACTAGTGTCCCTCATACTTTGTCGATATTATGATGATTGTTATGGTTTAATTTTCAAGTAGAAAACCCTCAAATGAGATGATTTGATTCGTCCTCTTTGCCTCATTGAAGCAATTCCCACCCCCCCCCCCCATAAATGCACCCTTGTCCTTCTAAGATAATTAACCATATGGGTTTAATAGAGCTGTGATCGGAGAGTACGTGGCATCTGCGCCACCATCAAGCAGAGCACAAGAAGTCTACGATCACACTTACGACAACAGTCAAGTCACCAACATTCACCCCATCACAGAAGCCAATCCCTACGAGATGGAATAATTGAAACGAAAAAGGAAGCTAAAATGAAATTTACTACTCAAATTGTTAATGTTGAAAAACGCGTTCATTAATAAAATCAGTGAAGAATAAACCAGAAGACTTTTCAGGTGATCGTTTTCATCGTGATTTGTTATAGCCATTTTTTAAACTGTAAATAGTCATAGTCATAGTAACTTTAGTTAATTTACAGCTTTGCCCAATGTCTATTTTATTTATCAAATGAGCCGCTGTTATCGATCCGATGTCTATTAATTTAATTAGCGTAGTAAACGTTCTACATGTGATTTAATTTCATGTCCAGACTTTCCAGACTCGAATTTTTGACGCGACGATGCATTTCGGGTCTTAATGCGATTGCGCAGAGACGCACGGCGTGACTTTCGTGACACACAAGGTGAAAGTAACGACCTGATAGCTAAATCTTTCCGACTTGAACTCTCGGAGCGGCTATGCAGTTCATGTCTGGAACCGGTTGCAGCACGACCCGCAGCATGACTTCTTGCGTCCCAGGGCGCAAATTTTGCGAAATCTTGTGCATATTTTTACATCTCAAACTCTCGGCTCGACTGTGCAAGTTTGGTTTGGTTTTTGGCGTGGTTCGACCTCCAAAGGCTTTTTTTTTTAATTCAACTTTCGTCAGATTTTTTGCTTGCAAAACTGTAAAAACCGATTTAGTTAGCAAATTAGTCCAGTTTTCTTAATGTGCAGTTAGCTAGGTCAGCATATTTGCAGAACATTAACGACGCGCCACAAGAAGTCCTACACATAGCCCAAATGTCAAATGGAGGAAAAATTTTTGGGGCAACGACAAAATCGTCGCCACAAAAAGGTAAATCTACAATAGATCAGATCAGACACTGAGTATGTCGAGCAGATATGTTGCATCGGTTGCGCAATCTCTACTTTTTTCGTCAAAGTTTCGACTGAACCTCACGGTCACAAAATTCAGGAAATGGAAAAACTTGGAGGCGCCGATCGGGCCGCTAAGCATCGGGTCGCGCTGTTTGCGCTGTTTTCTAGGTCGCGCCTATCCTACTGTCTCCATCATGGCAGCAAAAATTGCGATGGAACAGATTAGTAGAAAACGTCTGAAAATGGCAAAGTTTCGTCGCAAAAGTCTGGACATGCTAAAATTTGCGATGATGTTTATTGCAAGGATGTACATCATTTTGCAATGATTTACTTACGCGGAGCGAGGTCCGCGACTTAGTTCAGACTTTTGCTGTAGATTTCGGTGATTGCTTCTCTAGGTCCGTTCACACATTCTAACTTAACGGCATCGTGGTCCCTTTGGTAATGAATTTAGTGGGGCGACCGAGGTTCACTACTATCCGCACTCCCGAAAGGGTTAAGTTGGTGGCAACTATTCCGTACTCTATTATGTTACATGTCCCCTTAGTGTACTGCTCTTGAGGCTGTCTCGTCCGCCCTCACGATCGCAAAAATTTACAGTTGTAACTAAATTCAGATAAGTAATGGTCCAAATGCAGAAGGCTCTAAGTGGCTAGAGTATAATCTAATAATCTAACCAAAGAGAAATGGTCCGCGATCAATCAACACAATTGTTTAATTGCAATTCAAATCCCAACTAACTTAAATAATTATTATCTTTTTCTCTAAAGAATCCTAATTAACGTATTACACACAGTGATTCCTCATAGATACCTAGTTCAACCTGCTAAAATTAATAGTGTCACTACAGATCACTACTCCTTTGAGGTACTTCAACTGATCATTTTAACTTCACAGTTTCATGTTCTCTAACTCTGAGAACCAACTATGCTCTCACTTTGCTCTCATTGTTCTTTAACTAATGA